CAGGTAACAAACTTACCACAACATTTAACCCAACGAAGTTCAAGGTCCTCAATCGCAGTGGGGCACGTGTCACAATCGAGGATCAAGATAATGGACGGGTTTTCGACCGTAACGTTTCTCATGTGAAGAAGATAAGTGACGTGGGTGAAACCGGAAGCAACCAGGACCAGGATGTACCTTTTCAGAAGATCATCGAGTCAGATTCAGACGATGATGAAGACAGAATGGGTTTCCACGGATTTGAGGAAGAAGACCAGCAGAGGGATGTTTTGCCAGAGAGGGAGCGACGCAATCGCCGAGTACCGGACAAGTTTCGAGATTTTGTACTGTAAGCGGATTATCTAAAATTTATATAAAAGGGGAGATGTGGCAGTCCGTAAGTAGCCACAGCCACTGGGCTGAAGCTGAGCTACGGATGTCAATATGCCGTACGGCTAACCACTGGGCAGACGGACGGTACTATGACATCTGTAGAGAAACGTAGAGGAACAGATAATCGTTAAATAAACGTTCTTATTAAAAGCACTAATTATTAGTTGATTAATCATTAATAAAACGGGTTATCACAGTTACGAAAGAGAAACTGTTATCCAACATCACAAACTCTGAATACTTTGTCCGCCTTCTCTATTGATAGACCATGAAGCTAATACGAAAAATTACAAGTTCTTTTGACAGTTAATTTTTGCTCTGATAAACTGTGTGTTCAGCAATAACAAATATGTTTGCTGATATTTCAGTTAATATTATTTCGCTGGACCTTCTTCAGCAAACTATTATGCTGGAAGAGGATATCAGAATTTTGTGTGTACATTTGGCTGGTTTTTCAGTTAAGTGCTGTCAAATTCGTTCTGGATCAATTTGCTGGCCGTTCAGCAAAAATATTTTGCTGGAAGGATTGCTGGGTTTCCAGCTCGGCAAAATCGAGCAAAATGTTGCTGGTTTCCAGCGAATAAAAATAGGTGTGTAAGTTCTACTTAGAATGAAAGAGAAAAACAACCTAAAATTAAGTTATTTTTTTTCTTTCTTTTTTTCCTTTATTTGGGAGCCATAGGCTGGTTCATCTCCGAAATTAAGTTTATTGTACCCATCTCGCAACTTCCGTTGTAATCTGCACCTGAGTACTGCGAACTCAGCCGATTTTATTTTTCAAGTGAGCTAGAAAACATCTTGAAAATCTTCCGAAGTTTCAAATTGTTTTGCTTAAACAGCCCACGAAATTGTAGATACATGCTGTTAAATGAACTCTTGGCTCCTCCTCCTCTGCTCCAAAAATAACGTATACATGGTGATGGGAGTGTACCTGCCCACAAAGCTCACATGACTCTCATAAAATTGGTTACATTCTTGTTTCAGCGACCCAGTTTTGGCATTATTAATATCAAATAAAAACACTTTTTCGAGCATCTCGCTCGATGATTTACATTTTCCGCCTACTAAGCTTGATGTTTCGACAGTTTCAGAATTATTATTCTTAATTTAATTAATGAGAGAGAGAAGGATTAGTATTTTCCATTTAATTCCACTACTTTATTTGCTTATCCTTGACAGATACGCGTATTTCGTCTACAATGTGCAGACTTCTTCAGTGTCTTGTACTAATACTCGACCCAGTCGAGTTAGTGGAATTAAATGGAAAATACTAATCCTTCTCTCTCTCATTACCCACATTCATCAGGATATTCTTAATTTGTTTTCAGTAGGTGGCAACACTTTTACTTGTGGTTCAAACAGTAATTACCTATACGTGACTTCTGAGCTCTTTTGAATGTTTGGCTCCTGTTTGACAGTTTGACTCGGCTCCCAGATGACAAGCATTTTGAGTTAGTTCGCAGTACTCAGATCTGCACTAGAATCTGCATTAAAAATGGAAACGAATTCAAAAATTTCATCAATTTTGGTACACTGGAACCATATTAAATAAGTGCGATTACATTAGCAAAAATCACCATCTTAGCGCCCCTCGATGGGAGCAATCTGTCAATTTGTTTGTTAAGTGCCAAACAGTGAATATATTATTTTGTTTTAAATCTTGATTTAAAAACCGAGATGGAAGCCTATGGGATCGAAAAAAATTAGAGTTGTGCTCAGAAAACGAAGCCCTTTCAGATGATGTATAGTAACATAGGGTTAACAACCCCATTTCCGGCCTATTAAGCACAACCTACTCTTATTATTTCTTAATCTAGCGCAGTTTAGCACCAAATGGAATGTTATTATTACTTATGGCTTCCAAATTTATTTACCTTTCCGTATGTACCGTTATATTTGATAAAGAGAAACCAATCGTTGAGATATTGTCAAAAGTCTAACACTGCTTCTTGACGCCAAACTCGGCCTACGGATTCTAAACTCGACCTAACGCATTGAAACGGCAATGAATTCACTTCGGCCTATCGGATAAAAATTGATTCGGTCGGAGCGCTTCTTGAGTTTTTTGGGAATAATGGGTGCAAACCTTAATATCACGCGTTCTCATTGACTTCGTTTGGTAGCTTATTAACTAAAGTATCGTACCAAACGCATAATTGACATATTAACTCTGAAATCATGGATTTATTTGAAGGCCCAAAATGGGCGATTAGGCCGAAGTAGTTCTCCACCCTATATATTGTTTTTTTTTTTAATTAAAGAAACCACTTCACTAATTACGAGAAAAAATAGCGGCTATAGTAAATAATTACAGTACTGGACAAAATTACCCAACAAACAATTTGAGTTGATCAACAGCTGAATAAGCTATTTTTTAGCTGAAGAAGCTTGTTTTTGCCTGAATAAGCTCTTATTCTACATTCAATGTTTGTTGGGTAATCATACACCCATATCATTTTTCTTTGGAGCTCGATATATCCGGTAGATTAAAACATACAATAATGGTTTGTTCTGCAATACATCTGTATGTTTTTCGCTGAACTGTACAGGTATAGAATATTCAATATATTGTATTACTTTCTCAATTATCATTTATAAATTGTAAAAGGAGAATTTCGAGTTCAACAAAATAAATCATTTCAAATCATGATTTCTTATTGAAAATTCTTGTTTAATTCAACTTTCAACATACATTTTAACACTCTCAGTATTTGGTATGACCACCCTTTGCTTTAAACACTGATTCCAACCGTCTTGGCATACATTCAACGAGGTTTTGTAGATATCCTGGATCGATATTCTCCCACGCTGCTTCAAGTGCTTCAAAATAAACGTTTTTGTTGGAAACCGATGCTTTATCCACTTTGTTGTCCAAGTAAGACCACAAATTCTCAATTGGGTTGAGATCGGGAGATTGGGGAGGCCATTCCAGCGTTTTGATCCGATTTGATTTGAAAAATGCCGTTGTTTTCTTCGCTGTGTGCTTTGGGTCATTATCTTGTTGGAAAATGTAATTGGATTCCAGGCCAGTTTTCAGTAGCGAAACTTCCAGATTTTCACTTAACAAGTCAATGTACACATCTGCAGTCATTATTCCCTTTATATGAGACAAGCTTCCAACACCAGACCACGCCAATGCTCCCCATACAATGATATTTCCGCCTCCGTGTTTAGCCGTCTTTTGAATGTATGGTTCCTTAAGAGTGTCACCGGAACCTCGCCAAACCCTTGATCGCTTTTTCTGTCCAAATAACTCAAATTTGCTCTCATCCGTCCACAGAACTCGTATCCAGAAGTCCACAGTCATTCCGGCGTACTTTTTAGCAGATTCCAGTCGCTTCCGTTGGTTCCGCTTGTTGATAAAAGGACGCTTCGATGCCAAACAGCTTTTCAAACCGGCTCTCATTAAGTCGCCGGCGAACAGTACGTCGACTTACATTGAGATCCATCGATTCCACAATATGCCTCGACGAATACTTCGGATTCTGCTTAGCCATTCGAACAATTCTGATGTCATCACGATTACTTGTCGCACGATGACGTCCTTGTCCGGATAAATTCCTCACAATTCCTCGTGTTTCGTACTTTTTCCATATGTGCTGAACAGCTCCAACTGAGATCGAGTACTTTTCGGCAATTTTCCGAAAAGAAATTCCTTTTTCACGATCGCGAATCACCAAATTTCTAACATCGAGCGAAATCTGCTTTCCCGACATTTTTCACTTTTCAAATGACGCAAACAAAACACAATGGGTGCGATGCGCACGCTTCCCGGAACAAGAACTGTCAAATATTACGCCATGATGCCAAATCTTCAGATTTTGTTTATATTCGATGGCTAAAAAATAAAATCTTAGGAGTGTATGATTTATTTTGCCCAAGCACAAAAGTGAGCATATACCTATTTATTAAAATTTGTAACAAAAATAGCAGAATATTATAACAATTTTCATTCAGCTAATTAAATGCACCATGAGAAATACTTGAACTTTTCTGAATATACTGCTGAAATTGCGTGCAAAATAGCAAAAATATGATGTAATGTACTTTTTTGGGTTGAGCGTATGATTTATTTTGTCCAGTACTGTATATCAGTGACTTGTCAAAATTTAATTATCTTAACAAAAATTAGTAGATATTCTCATTATTGATCATTAACAAACGTATCCCATAAAAATTTAATGCTCACTGCGTGTTTATGATCATTTCGTCGATTATATTTTATACACCGACTCTAGTCAGCACTTAGGAGTGTTATAAATTTTCTATCGTTTTCTTACATGGGAGGAAGGGGCCCTAATAAAAAGAATACCATACCCGAACGATAACCCAAATGATAGAACTATTCCACAAACGGTTTGGATACCCTGAACACGTCGTTAAGCAAAATGATGTCACAAATTTTATTAGGGGGGTCTCGGTAATATCTTGCGCATGAACAAATGGTGCGAACAGTCAAAAAGAATCCAACGATCGAGACCAGCAAGAAGACTTACGTTTTCGAATTTGTTTGAAAGAACAAGCATTGTGATCAATATTTAAAATATAATTCTCAAATGTGGCTTGCTAGCGTTTATGGGCAGTATCGTTTATCCATCAAAAGACACCCACCTAAAATCTTCTTATTTTTATTTACTTAGGGTGAAGTATTTACAAATACAGCAAAAGTACGATTCATGAATATTTCGACAATAATTTCATTCTAATTAGCATAAAGATTCACTTCCAAGGCCTTGGCGTTTTCCCAATTGTTTTGCTGAGCTGACTCAAATTGGAAGCCGAATTGAATATCCCGTTGGGTGCTTTTCCCATACTATGACACACGACAGACTTGTCTTTTGGCTCCTTTTTACAGCTCGCTAGCATACCATCTAAGCCTTTCAAATCGCTCGGCGATTTCTCCAGCAGCAGTTGAATGTAATTATGCAGCAAATCGCGTGGCAAAGTGCTTCGATCATCAGAATTCCCCGTCTGTTTCTGCTGTCGGCTACTCACGGGCGTATGGAACGTCTCGTTTTCTGCTACACCTTTCAATGTTCTAACCCCATCCAGTTGATCTTTGTCGATGTGATCAACCGACAGCCTGTTGAAACGGTTTGGCATATGTGGTGCTTCTTCAGCTCCGGCCGTGGCAGGAGATGTTAGCACTTCTAAGGCTTTCTGCCATTGGGTCTCCATGATTGAGTGAAGCTGTTCGGCGATGTCGGCTCTTCTGTGCTGATATGAGGACAGCCTTTCCTCCAATTCGTAGATAGTTTTCGACGAGTTGGTCAGTTGCAGTCGGTAGAGCGATTCTTGTTCGTTGTATTTTTCATTGAGGAGTTTGATCTCTTGTTCGGTGGTTTGATTGATCAGTTCAATCTGCTTGATTGCACGTTCGGCAATAAGCCTTTCCTTCTTTTTTGCTTCAGATTTAAGTTGATCCTCAACTAACGTTAGCTGTTTCTGGAATTCTTTGAGCTTATCAGTAACGACATCTTCTAGCTGAGATTGGTAGTATTTCTTGAGCGATAACCGTTGCACATCCAGCTCCTTTATAAGTTTTTTCTTCTCTTCTAAATGAGCTTCTGCTTCTGCTTTCAGATCTTTCACTTGTTCCCTGATTGATTCGTTTTGTGCGTTTATTTCGGTAAACTTTCTGCTTAAATTATCAGTCTTAACCTTAAGTGAAGCATAGTCTGCTCTCAGTTTATTGCTATCCTCGGATTTCTTGCGTTCTACTTCAAGTTGATCCTTCAGCTGTTCGTTGGCTTTTCTAAGTTTTGCCATTTGTTCCTTCAGGCTGCGCTCGCTATCCTTACTGTTGGATAGTCGGATTTCCAGGTCTCTGAGCTGGGTTTTATGCACATCGGTCACGTCGCGGTTGGCAGTAGTAAGACTTTCCACTTTCGATTCCAGCGATTCGTTTTTGTCCTGCAGTTTGCGTACGACGGCGATCGTTTCGGAAAGTTCTTTTTCCAAGAAGAGGTTTTTGTTTTTGGTTTCCAAGTTTTCCTGCAGCAGTCTTTCCTGTCCTTCGGTGTGTTTCTGTTCCATGTCTCGGACTTCGCGATTTTGCCTGGAAGATTTTAAAATTCTATATATGTGTTTGAATAGGATTAGAGCATGGAGTTGGTTGCTGATTTTGCTGAATGTAATTCTGATGGTTAATTTGTTACCATTATTTGCATAGTGTGCACAATGTAAAAAATCTTCAAATGCACTTAACAACAATGCGAGTAGTTCCAAAGGGCTTCAAGAAAAATATGACTTTATCCACACAACTTTTTAGGTTCTATGTCCTACTGTAATGGTGTCGAAGACAGTGTTTCTTTTTGCATTACGAATCACGCAAAGTTCAACTTGAAATATAACCATCGAACTACAGCTGTTGACTCCACTCTAACTTATCGGTATAAATCAAGATAAACATTCTCCATACGCACCGAATCCCATCTTCCTCCAGTCGCAGAATCATCGCTTCCTTTTCCTTATCTACATCGATGGCAACCGCAATCTTCTGTTCGTACTCGAGCAGCTTCGTTTGCAAGGCCTGAATATTCCGTTCGCAGTGTTGTCTCCTGAGGCGTTCTTCCTGTACTTTGGAGCTTTCCTGGTTGATTGTATTGCTGTTCCAAATTTCGTTCAAACTAAGCATCGGGGGCCTGGTGTTGATCGAAGACCTACTGCCGGACGGTGGTAACAGCTCCTTTCGGGGAGGTTTCTGCGGAACGGCAGTGTTGGTTGACGTTCTACTGAAGCCGTTAAAATCGCTGGCCGTTAATGAGGGAAACTCGTGGATTGAAATGCTATTCAAGTCGATGAGTGATTGGTCAGGGCTTTTGGAAGCTCCTTCCTGCGGAGCAAGCGACTGGTTGCTTGGTTTGGGTCCTACTTGTAGGAAATGATCAATTTCGTTAAGAAAAAAGTGATTGTTAGGCTGTGGCTTCTGGTTCGTTCCCAGATGTCCTTTGATGGGTGTTGAATAGTACATATTGTTGCCGCCATCCATGTGTGTTTGGAAGCCGCAATTACCGCCGGGATATTCCTGACCGAAGGTGCTTCGCTGTCCGCTCATCGTTGGAATGGAGCTTTTGTAAGAATTTATTCCAATTGATCCGTTGTAGGCGCTCAAAAGATCCAGTGATCGGGGGAATTCACTGTAGTAACGAAAACCACATTCAGCTGGGAGTGAAACGGGTGTAGCGCTGGTTGTCTCGATGCTAAAGAAATCCGGTGGAATCAGCAGCAGGACATCCGTATCGTCCGAATCACTCATCACATCCTGGGATTTTGAGTATTTATTGACAGCAAAAACTTAATTTCAGCAACAAAAAGAATCAGAGAAATCAGAGAAATAGAACATAAAATTTAAGTAAAACAACAACGCGTCGCAGCCAAAACAATTTTATAAACAACGGTAATGAGCAGTCATTAATCATCATCGAAAATCGCCACCACAACAGAAATCGGTAACGCTCCGTGACGTCATTTTTGCTTGGTCTTTTTACTGAGGATCTCGCCAATTTGCCCGCCACGCACGGATGAAAGAGAAACGTCAAAACTTCTCGTCTCCCGAGCAGATGGCCCGCAAAGTTGTGTAAAACGCGAACGCAAAATACTTTTGCCGATAATTTCCATTCAAACATTACGGAAAATGTTTCAAAGAAACCTTCTGCAGTTATCCCGTCTAGTCAAAGTTCACAATTCTCAGGTTTGTTCGCTGGCGGCGGCGACCTTTGTGCGTCGATATTCGTTCAATCAGAACTCGCAACTTCTGTGGCTCCGGCAGCAGCCGAAAGAATCCTGCTGCAGCGGCGTTTCCACTCGTTTCCTGCATTTGACACCGACAGGTAAATATTGTGTAATACCATCATGTTTTTTTTTAGGGAAGAGCTTGAGATGATAACCGATCTGTCTCGATTTTCTAGTATCATGTACGAAAAGTGTAAACGATCCTAAGGCGAATAATGCTCAAGTGGGAGCGCCGCAGCTTCTCTCGAAACTGTTCCCGCAAACTGCCGTGGAAACTGATCTAGCCGAACAGGCTCAGGAGCAGAAGCGCAAAGAAGAAGAGGACGCCAAAAAGGAAAAGGAATCGTCCTGGAAGCGGATGAAGTTTGGGTGAGAATCGATAAGCATCATCAGCATTGAATCGCTGATATAACATTACGCATTTCAGCTTCGTCCTCTTTGGAGTATCGGTAACAGCCTTCTCCGTCTACACGGTGTTCATTTTTGGAGCACCAGATCGTGATCCGGAAGGTAACATCATCGAAGATGAGTTCACTCAGCTGCCGTCGGTGCCACAATACTTCAAACGTCTCTGGAAATCGATGACCTACTACCAAAAGATGATTCAGGAACCGTCGCGGGAAAAACTACTTCCTGACCCATTGAAGTACCCGTACATACAACCACCGTACACTTTGGTCCTCGAGATGAAGGACGTTCTAGTGCATCCCGACTGGACGTACCAAACCGGTTGGCGTTTCAAGAAACGTCCCGGAATTGACAAATTTCTCGAATCGCTAGCCCGGCACTTTGAAATTGTCATTTACACTGCTGACCAGGGGATGACCGTTTTTCCCATCCTGGATGCCCTCGATCCTCACGGATATATCATGTATCGCTTGGTGCGAGATGCTACCCATTTCGTCGACGGACATCACGTGAAAAACTTGGACAATCTCAACCGTGACCTTCGCAAGGTGATTGTCATCGATTGGGATCCGAACTCGACGAAACTGCATCCGGAAAACACCTTCAATATTCCACGTTGGAGCGGAAACGACGACGATACCACGCTGATCGATTTGATCTCATTCCTGATGACGATTGCCAACAGCGAAGTGGACGACGTACGCGAAGTGATGACCCACTACAAGCAGTTTGAAAATCCACTGGCACAGTTCCGCGAGAACCAGCGGCGTCTGGCGGAGCAGATGGCCGAAAAGGAACAGGAGGAAAAGCAGCGGTCTAAGCCTGCCGTGGCCAAGTGGAAACCCAGTTTCCTGGGCGGCGCACGTTAGATAAGACAGCAGTAGTGTTAGGGCTAGGTTGTTTTTCTTTTATTTTTTTTTATTTTTTTATTTTTTTAGTTGTAAGAATAACTCCATTTGGAATACCTTTGTAAAGCAATGCGCCAGCCGTGAACGGTGGGATAATGCTATCAAGTTACACGCTTACCTTTGGACGGCAGAAATTACAATAGTCAAGTGGAATTGTTGGATTTCATTTTTAAATTTAATCGGGAAAGAAATGCCTTTGAATGCTACAGTGTAATAGAATATTTTACGAGACGTTTCTGATTAAAATCATGAATGAACATGGGGCGGTTAGTTAACGGCTATGAAAAGCAACATAAATTATATTGACTGTTCGATTTTCGATCCTTTCTGCTCTCAGCCCAGTCAGCATCCGAGTAACTAACGATTTCCTAAGGTTCCTTGACCTTACTCAATCACAGCTTGTAGTTACAGGTCCCCCTCAGGTAACGGATGATACATTTCATTCTTCTTCTTGATTCCTTTCTTTATTTAACGTAGGTCTCTGATCCGCAATCTAGTGCCAATCATGGTGATGCAGCTTTGTCACTATATGGGTGAGGAGATTGCGGGTGGAAAACTGCGGTTTTAGAGCAAATTGGGATCGAACATAGGCCCTATGGGGTGAAAGGCAATCACGCTTACCACTACACCACCGGCGCCACTATACATTAAAGGGTGTTACGATCAAAATTTGGTCGACTTAATGTTGACGCATTTTGCTAAAAGGAGCATTTAAAAAGATCTGAGCTCCCCTTATTTTGTAGGTGTGTGCGTGCAGAATGATGCCTCTATGTCGATTTATTTGAGGTTAGCAACTCTCTCAATAACAGGTGCAATGAGAAGTGCACCATCGAAGGCATTGGATGCTTTGCTTTATATGCTACCATTGCATCAATTTGTACAATTAGAAGCCATCAAGGTGTGCTCTAAGGATTACAAGGTCAGTGAAACTCTTTGAAGGAGACCTTAGAGGACATCTTAGGATTCTAAAAAGTGTTAGTATCAACTCTCTAGTAAGAAACAATGAAGACTGGATGGAGAAAAGATACAATTTCAATCGACTTTTTCAAGTAGTTGACCCTGGGCGTAATTCATGGCAATTTGGTGGCCCGGTTATTCGTCCAGGATTGATTGTTATACAGATGGTTCAAGATTGAACAATCAAGTGGGAGCAGGAGTAGGATAGAAATATCGGTTCCTATGGGCAAATGGCCAACTATGTTCCAAGCGGAAATCTAAGCAATTTTAGAGTGTTCCATTATATGTTTGCGTAGAAACTACATATAAGAGTTCAAATATATGCGTCATGTCCAACAGTTAAGCTGCTCTAAATGCTTTGGGAGTGTGTTCAATCACTTCAAAAATTGTCTTGTCATAATCAAGTCAACTTATATTGGGTTCCTGGTCATTGCGGGATTGAGGGAAATGAAAGAACTGATGCACTAGCAAGACTCGGATCTTCTCATAAGTTCATCGGGCCAGAGCCCTTTTGTGGCTTATCGGCTGCATCTCTTAAGGCCCACGCACATTAGATCCGGATCGGACGCGTTGCGGTAAAGTGACAGCTAAATCTATTGTCTATCTGTCAAATTTACGTCAACGCAACGCAAACGGATCTAATGTGGGTGGCCCTTTAGAATGGAGCTAAAAGCGTGGGAATCTTCAAAAGTGGAGGAAAACTGGAAGAACACTTCTATTGCTAGGCAGTCGAAGTGATTCAATAATCCAAACATTTCGATGACCCACAAAATCCTGGAACTTTCTAAGAAAGATCTTAGTATATATGCAGGTCTTATAACAGGTCATTGTCCGAGCCGTTATCACTTGAAGCTGATTGGAAAAATTCAACATGATGTATGTCGCTTCTGTGGCATAGAAAAGGAAGACTCGGAACATTTGCTATGCCCAACAAACATTAGGCGTTGAATAAGAGCTTAATCAGCTAAAAACATGCTTCTTCAGCTAAAAAATAACTTATTCAGTTGTCGATCAACTCAAATTGTTTATTGGGTGCCGCTGTCCGGCAATTTTCAATAAAATGCGTAAGTTCTTCGACAAGGGGCTGATAGAAACCTTTGACATTTGGAGAACAACTCCCAGTACGGCCATAGAGGTAACTCTAAGACCAGAAGGTCCCGAAGAAACGTGCTCAACTTTTTGGCTCAGCTCTGGTACTATCTTCAGTCCCAAGCTAATCGATGCACCCCTCGAAACAAAGGAAAATCCACGATCCCCTCATTTTATCTGTCAAACTTTCATAGCGAATCAAAACAAACATAGTGTAGTACTTGAATTTATAATAGAGCGATACGGTAATCGATTTGCTTAGGACCAAGCAAATCGATTAACGTACCTCATTCTTGTCAAAATTCTAGAACTACACAATGTTTTATTTATTTTTTTGTTTTATTTATTTATTTATTTATTTGTCGTCAATCAGTGTAGACCGTTTTACAATAGTGCTGTTGCCTTACATGCTATTTTAAAACATACGTTTTATTTGAAATTGTCAGCAAATGTAGACTGCATATACAAATATCTAAAAAATAAAAATTGTTTTAAACTTAACGAGATGAAATTCTAGCAGTTAGTGTTCTCCTTACTGTATCTTTAGACATCGTTAGATCTATATGCTCACAATAATTATTATACACTCTCATCATTCTATTAATTGGTCCATTTTTACCATAATTCGTTCTGTGAGGTGACAGTTGAAATACATTTCGAGTTCTTAACATGCGTGATGGTACGTAAAAATTTAATCTTGCTAATATTTTTTCTGAATTTACGCGTTGTGAGATAATATCATTGACAAAGGAAATCATGGAAATTTCTCTTCGTTTCTTAAGTGTTTCAATGTTTATCAACATGCAACGGGACTCATAAGAAGGAAGAGGAAAAGAGGTCCAGCCTAGTTTCCTAAGAGCAAATAACAAAAACTGTTTTTGAACTGATTCCATACGATTTATATAAGTTTCATGGTATGGAGCCCAAACCACACTGCAGTATTCGAGAATTGATCTCACGTAAGCTATATAAAGTGTTTTGATGGTATATGGGTCTTTAAAATGATAACTAAATCTTTTTATGAATCCCAACATATTATTTGCTTTGTGAATTGTGGTATTCACATGATCTACAAATGTCAACTTCGAGTCAAGAATTACTCCTAAGTCCCTAATTTTATCGCACCTTACAACCAGCTGGTTTCCTAGAGTACATGTAAAATCTAGAGTAGTGTTTTTTCTGGAATATGATATAATATTGCATTTTTTAACATTAATATCCAGCAGACTTTTAACGCACCAGTTGTAGAAAACATCAATTTCATTTTTAAAATGTAGCAAATCAGAATTGTCAAAGATTTCCATGTACAGTTTCATATCGTCAGCATATATGAGCACATTTAAACGATTTAACACAAACTTCACGTCATCCACAAATAAAATAAATAATAAAGGACCTAAATGAGATCCCTGTGGAACTCCCGAGGTAACATTAACTGGCGAAGATATTTTTCCTTTAAAGCGGACCATCTGTGTTCTTTCTGTCAAGTATGATCCAATCCATTTTAAAAGTGTACTTGTCATACCTAAACGTTTTAATTTAAAAAGAAGTAAGGGAATGTTTACTCTGTGAAAGGCCTTACTAAAATCAGTGTATAAGGTTTCAACCGTATTACCTCTATCCATTGCTTCAATAGAAAAGTTTACAAATTCCAAAAGATTAGTAGACGTTGACCGACCTTTAAAAAAACCATGTTGATTATTTGAAATGCGATGCTTAACCTGGTTAAATATTTTCTGGTTAACAATTGCTTCAAACATTTTAGGAATGCATGACATAATTGCAATACCTCTATAGTTTTTAATATCTGACCGTTTGCCAGATTTAAATATTGGAACTAAAAATGATTTCTTCCAAATTTTTGGAAAATCACCTGTTTTGAGAGATAAATTATAAAGCCAAAACAATGGTTTAACAAAACTTGTTGCTATTTTTTTCAATAAAAATGGAGGTATTTCATCAGGACCAGGTCCTTTGCCAGCATCGAGACTTTCAAAAGTCATAAAAATTTCTTTAACAGTGATATTTTTAACTGATACGTCATTTTCCCCTTCATGTAGGTAAGAAAAATAGTTCAAATCGAGAGCATTACTGGATTTCTTATATGTGTTTTGGAAAAAACGAGCAAATAGGTTACAAATATCCTCACTATCAGTGCTATCACACTCTTCAAACTGCATGCGTGATGACTTCATTTTTTCGTTCGCGAAGTTAAAGAACGTTTTGGGATCTGATTTTATATTGTTCTCTACTCTTGAATTGTAATTCTCATATGCTGACGATATTTCTGCCTCAAGTGCTCCGCAAATTTCAACGTATTTTTCTAAATTTTGTGACGTTTTAAACTTTTTATACGCCTTGTGTGCTTTTTGCTTCCTGTTTTTAATATTTCTGATTTCTTGTGTATACCACACAGGATATTTGGTGCTGTTCACTATTCTCTTTTGTCTTTTAGGAACGAATTCTTCAATAATATTGTATAAGTTAGTATAAAATATGTCAACTGCCTTGTCCATGTTGTTTTCATCTTTTAAAAGGTTTTGCCAACTTATGTTATTCAGTCTGTTGTTAAATTCAGGAACATTTGCATTTTTAAAATCATAAACTAATTCAAAATCAACAACGCTTGGGCGTGACCGATGCGAGTCTGTGAACACTGAGTATTCAATAGCCGTATGAAATTTTTCATTCTTCCATAATGGAACTGCTGCTTCTACAATACAAAAATCTTCTGTACAATTAGTAAACATAAGATCCAAATAGGAATTGAGCTGGTTACGAACATGGTTAATTTGATGAAGTCCCAAGTGGCTGCTTTTATCAAAGATGAATTGCAAAGTATCGTTTTCTCCTACAATTGGTAACAACAGAGAATCATTATCACTATCCTGTATAAAATTAACAGTATTCTGGTTTGTTTTGATTAGCTATGAAAGTTTGACAGATAAACTGAGGGGTTCGTGGAGTTTCCTATGTTTCGAGGGGTGCATCGATTAGCTTGGGACCGAAGATAGTTGCAGAGCTGAGCCAAAAAGTTGAGCACGTTTCTTCGGAACCTACTAGTCTTAGAGTTACCT